GAGGGCCCTGGTTCGGATCCCACATATGAGGGCCTGAAGCAATGTCCTCCACAACTAGACTGAAGAACAAAACGACAGCAACTTGTCTGTTCTCCTTCCCCCAATTCCCCAGCACTGTTTCCATTCCCCAATAAAAATCTTTAAAAAAAAAAAAAAAAAGGCTGATTGAGGGGCCGGCCGAGTGGCGCGTTGGTTAAGTGCTGGCTTGGGACACCAACTCTGAGCAGCAGGGCCCAGGTTCAGATCCCACATGAGGGTCAGTGACATTGCACCCTCTACAGCTAAGATCGTGAACAACAGCTCAACCTGGAAGTAGGCTGCCGTGAGTGGCCGGCAACAGCGTAGGCTGCAGCCCCTGCTGCAGTGGGCTGCCGTGAGCTAATGTGAGTGGCTGGCAGCTGGCGTGAGCCACCATGAGCGGCCGTCCAATGGCCGGCAAGCAGTTGCCTCACCCAGAAAGATCACAATGATAATACCAACATGGGCCCGTGAAGCGACGTCCTCTACAACTAGACTGAAGAACAAAAGGACAGCAACTTGTCTGTTCCCCTTCTCCCGATTCCACAATAAAAGCTTAAATAAATAAATAAATAAATAAATAAATAAATAAATAAATGGCTGATTGAGGCCCAAGTGCCTGGAAGGGATTTTGTATTAGCTGCCAGCCCACAGGGACAGAGATAATGGGCAATCAAGACAGGGGGATGTGTGGGTGTCTTGGAAAACAGGAGGCCCACAGACGAGTGGTGCCAGGCTTGCCAGGGGAGAGACCGAGGGAGGCCAGCCTGAGAGGTGTTTCTGGAGGGGTCTCTCCAGTCTCAGGCGCTGGACAGTTTGTTTAACCAGAAAACGACTGGAGGTTGCAGCCAGGCCTTGGAGTGAGCAGGCCAAAGACTGGTTGCTAGTCACAGCAGGGTCTCCGGCACCCTTGTCCCACCCCATCCCAACAATACTGGACAGGCACATGCCCCCTCAACAGGAGACCCGCAGTGACCTCTGGAGATATGCCCCAGAGAAAATCTCTCTGGGTGCTGGCCCTGGGGAAGGGGGGGTGTGTGCCAGCTGACCCCCAGGTATGGAGGAGAGCCTCCCATGGGAAGACAAGCCCCACCAGAGGCAGGCCCAGGTGGGGGGTGGGGGGCAGGGGCTTCCCTAGGGACTTCCCAGACCACCCCATCCCAGGATGCAGCACTGAAAAGACACTGGTCCTGAGCTGCTACTGCAGGCCATGCAGCTCTGCCTCCTTCTAACACTGAGGCCTGTACGAGGCTGTACTCACCTCTGCCCTGTGGCTACGTCCTGGTGGCCTGAGAGGGCTCCCCTGCTGCCCCGCCCACTGTGGGCACCTGGGCTGGGCTCCAGCTCCAGCCTCTATCCGGCAACCCTGGGGTTGACTACACGGCACTGTGAGGTCCTGGGTGCCTCCCTCGTCAGACCAAGCCCTGCCCCATGTTTCTTCTCCCAGCACCATGCCTCCCTCGGCGCTGGACCAAGACACGCACAGATCTCCAGGGCTGAGGGAGTGCATGCACGGCTGGGACCCTCACTCCTGCCAGCAGTCCCCAGCTGGCCAGGATGCCCTCCAGGAAGGTGTCTGGTAATGCCAAGCCCCACAGGCAGCTTCTTGCCCACTAGCCCAGGGTCCCATGCGTACAGCGACAGCAGGACGAGGCCCAAAGGCGGCCGGAGCAAGACACCTGTTTATTTCCTAGGAAGGGGAGTATGGGGTCTGGGGAGTTCCCACCACAGTCTCGTCTTCACACCGCGAGCGAGCGGACATCACTTCCAGAAGAGCACGTTCCAGAAGAGCAGCCAGCAGGGGTAGATGCCCAGGGACAGCAGCGGGAAGAGCAGGGCGCCGTAGGTGTGGTGCTCCAGCACACCCTGGGCCAGTGTCCCCAGGAAGAGCTGCCAGCCCTCGACCAGCGACAGCGGTGCCTCCTGCAGCTCCCGCCACAAGAACAGGCTGCCCAGGAGTGTGGCTGCGGGGCTCGTCAGCACCAGCAGAGCAGCATAGAGTGGCCTGGGGGGAGGGCAGGGGCACGGTGGGCTCTGAGTTGGGGGAGGAATACCGTGTGGGGGCGGAGACTGTGGTAGGGGACACATCTCATCTTGGGGGCTCCGTGGTGATGAGCACGTACCGGGGCCCACAGGGCTCAGTGAGTGCAGCGGCAGGCACCATGGTGGCAGCCAGCAGGAAGCCCAGCGAGAAGTTGGTGAGGGCGATGCAGGCCAGCTGTAGTGCCAGGTAGATGAGGGCCACCAGCTTCAGCGCCATCCAGCCCCTGTCCGGGGCCTGTGCACTCACCACCCTGCAGGGCAAGAGGCTCAGAGGCAGCTGCGTGTGTGTCTAGGGCAGCCCCTGCCAGAGCCCACCCGGCCTGGCCCCTCACCGGTGTGCGCTGTGCGGAAGGGCCAGGCCCGCCGCGTAGATGGCCAGCAGTGTCAGCACCACAGCTTCAGCCTCAGCCACAGGGAAGTGCTGGGCGGCCACATGCTGGCCCAGCACCGGAAGAGTGTACAGGGCCACGCCCATGGCCTGGGAGATCAGCAAAGGCGCCACCAGCGAGGCCAGCCCCACGCCCTGCAAGGCACACAGGCACCTGAAGATGGGCCCTGGGGTCCTCAGCGCCCCCCAGTGGGGACTGAGTGGCAGAGTGACAACCTCAGCACCCGGGAAGCCCAGCCCAAGAGCAGGAGTGGGGGACCATCACCTGTGCAGGGGGGAGAGGGGTAGTGGGCGCAGAGGCCGCCCCCACCTCCGCGGAGCCTGCCCCAGCCTCGTGCAGCCGCATCCACAGCTCCAGAGCTTGATCTCGTCAAGGACGCTGACCAGAGGTGTGATGGGGTCTGCCGGTGGGGACCCAGGGCTCCCCCACCCCCACCCCGAGGATGGGAGGCTCTCCCAGCCTAGAGTGGAGGGGACCCGAGTGTGGCCACAGTGGACAGTGGGGGTGCACAGGATATCTTGAGACCAAGGACCAGGAGCAAGAAGCCGGCGGCGGGCATGTAGAGGCCAATGGACACGAAGCGGGACAGGGCGGCCAGCAGGTACAAGAAGAAGGACTGGTGCAGGCGCTCCAGGAGGTGGTTCAGTTTGCGGAACATGCCCTCCAGAGCCCTGCCAGGTACGGGCCAGCGTCACAGCGACCAGACCCCGCCCCACCCCACCCCACTCCACTCCCCAGGGATGGCGGCCCAGAATCACGTACTTGCCCACTGCCACCAGATCATACTTGTACTGGCGGAAACTATTGATGCCGCGTAGGGTCAGGGCCTCCACGCGGTAGCGCAGGAAGAGGCCGTGGGGGCCGTGGGGGCAGCCAGAGGCCTGCTGCAAGACCATGAGCAGCAGGGTCTGTAGACCCTGCAGTGGCCCATCTGCCGACGTCCAGTCCTGGGGCTGCAGCTTAGAGGGTAGGAGACAGGGTCAGCTCATCCCCACCCAGGCCCTGCACCCCCAAGCAGGTTGCCTACCTTGCCCTGCAGCGTGCAAAGCAGCCCCCCTTTCTGGCAGAAGGTCTGAAAGAGGTTGAGTAGGTCAAGGTTGGGTAGCTGCCCATTGAGCCCCTCCACAGCCACGTCAAGGCTAGTGACCACGTCGCTGCTCAGCTCCAGGGCCACAGCTGCCTGGATGGCCCCAGCCCGGCCCTGCAGAGGTGATGACTGCATGCCTGTAGGGCAGGTGAGTGAGCTGCCAATGGGGGCTGGGAGGACAGGGGTCCCGAGAGGGGCCAGGCCAGGCAAGAGTACCCACCAGTGACATTGGTGTCGTGGTAGGCTTCCAGCCAAGCCTCAGTGCCCAAAAGGTCGTGTTCTGTCACCAGGAAGATGATGTCTTTGGCCCAGTAAATCTGCCCTGCAGGCCAGAGGCAGGGTCAGCAGGGCCTGAGACAGTAGCCAAACCTTCCCTTGCCTGCAGTAGCCCAAGCCTCACCCCGGAAGTGGGCAGCGAGTGCCAGCAGCAGCCCCACAGCCTGGCTGTTGGTAGAGTCAGGGCCACAGGGTACGGTGAGCACCAGAGACTCGGTGCTGGCAGCTCGAGGGGCCCGCAGGATGCCGTACACGTTGGTGCCTGCCACCACCTGCACGCAGTATTGATGGGGAGGCCTCAGCACCACCCCACCTTCAACAGAAGCCTCCCCTTTGGCCACAGAATGCCCACCAGGGGTTTCCCTGGCCCCAAGCCACCCCCTCAAGGTGCTCGGGTCCCAGGCACACTCCCTCCCCACAATACATAGCGCTCGTGAGTCTCATCTGGAAAGGGCAGTTTCCGGGAGAAACTCTGCGTGTAGACCTCCAGCCCCACTGACCGCATCGTCCGCTCCAGCCAGGCCACTGGCAGAGCCCTAGAGACACAAGAGAGCCTCTGAGCAGAGCTCCCAGGCCTTGCCCGCCACTGCGTCCCCCATACCTACGGCTCCACCGCTCACCCCGACTTCCTGCGGTGGGCAGCGAAGTCCCGGGCAAAGCCCCGGGCACGGTCTCCGCCAGCAAACTGTTCCTCCACCATAGTGGAGCCCATGGCGTTCTCCGACATGTAAGTGCGCTGGGTCAGCGGCGGGAAAGCCAGCGCCAGGAACCAGGCGATGCCCGCCACGTAGCTCAGCACGCTGCGGGGAGAAGGCACGAAGGGGCCACGGAGCGTCAGCAGGTCCTGGGACGCCTGCCCGTGGTCTCAACCTCTACACCCGGGGTCGACGGGGTCGTATCGAGGGGCCTGGAGCCGGAGTTACGGCATCCGGGACGCCCAACGGGAGAGCTGAGCCCCGGGCCTGATGCCCTGAGCGATGCAGACAGGCGGGAGGGGACGCGCGCCAGCAGCCGGAGGGGCCGCCGGCAACTCGAGCCCCGGGCCCGCGCCTCCCTCTCCAGCCCCTGCACTTACCATAGAGGCGCGTTGAGGCGAAGCACGAGGCGGGCGAGCGCGCGCCGGCGCACCGGGTCCGACAGGAGGCCCATGGCGGAGCGGGGCCGTGCGACTCCGGGACCCCTCTCCGGCGGCCAGCTACAGCCGGCGGCCCAGCGTGCAGCTCCTGTCAACGTCGGGCTGCGAGCCCGCTCGCACTTCCGGTTCCGGCGGCCCTCTCGTCTTCGCGCATGCGCACTCCAGCCCCCTCCACCGCGAACCACCAGCGCGCATGCCCGGAGCAGAGGGGGTGTGACGGAGGCCGAACTAGAGGCGGGATTCCAGCCTCAGTGCAGAGCGTCGAAGAGTCGTGGAAACGACCCGCCGCCGCTCTGGTTTGTTGCGGAGAGCGAGAAAGCTCCGACTCGAAGGCTCTTAGAATCAGAGAAAGGTGATAAATTAGGGCAGGTGAGTGGAAAACGCAGGCGGCAAACAAAGCGTGGATGCCCCGGGATTCTGAAGGTGCTGCTCCTGACTGGCAGTAACAGGTCTGAGTGCCTGTGGAGTGCGTTCTGGAAGTAAGAGGGCTTCTGTGAGCTGACCAAGGCGTTGGCATCCTGTAGATGCCGGTCACCAAAAATGGCAGTGGGTGCCTGAGTGGAATCACAGCGTGAGCCTAGCACCCAGGTTATGGGGTCAGATGACCAAGGGAGGAGGGTGAAGATGGTACTGCCAGCCAAATCAGCTTTCAAAGGGGCCGCGGAAGACTCCTGTCCAGGTCAGGAAGGGACTGGGATCCTGGGGGAGAAGCAGCCTCTGGGTGTGGACTGCAGAGGCTGGTGGTCTGAGAGCCGGAGGTGAAGGAAAGGGGAGTCTGCGGAAGAGGAAGGTGCAGTGGTGGGGAGCGGGTGTCTGTGTCTCACTGAGGATGGCTCAGAGCTGAGGAGAGAAGACTCCACGTGAGAACACGTGTCTGTTGAATTTTTGGAGCCCAAGGTAATTGCAGCATAGGCCCAAAGAGTTCCAGGGGAAAGGGAGCCATTTGGTCGAAGCCATGGTCCACGGGAAGGGGGACATGGACCCCCATGTCTCAGGGCCCCAGTCCACTGGCCTAGCTCACTCGGCCAGACCGCGCCTGACTGCTCAGCTGCCTTGAACCCTTCTGGGCACAAGCTGCTCTTTACACCCCCAGGCACACTCACAGCCCTCCCCACCCTCCCACCCCCTGTCCCCTTCTTCTTCAGGGTTTGTCTCCTGACGCTACAAGAGGTATGTAGCTCATGTGCGGGGAGGGTCCCTGGTCACCCCCAGGAGCCAGGCTCTGAGAGCACAAAGTGCCGTGGGGCAATGGAAGTACAGTGGACTGTGTGCGTTTTATTCTGGGCACAGGGGTCGATGATCAGTCCCCCAGCAAGACAGAGGCCTCGCGCACATGTTGCCGGACCACACGGTCCAGCAGGGCGTGCACATCGCGGGCAGCCCGCGCCGCGGCCTCCAGCACCTGCTCCAGGTGGTCTTCATGCAACCTGGCATCCATCTCCAGCAGTGCGATCTGGCCTGAGGCGGGCAGCAGGGCCAGGGCCAGCTGGGGGCCACCAGCTGCTTCTTCCACGTGGCTGAGGTCTGCCAGGGCTGTGCCGTCCACAAAGCCCGCTGAGCAGGCACACACAAAGTCCCGCATGGGCACCCCAGCGTCCAGCACTGCCAGTGTGGCTGCGTTCACGCAAGCTGCATAGGTCCCACCATCTGCCTGGAGCACCTGCAGGGAGCCCCCCACCCCCAATGGCATCAGTGCACTGGGCTGCCGACCCCCATGACCCTCACACCCTCCCTGTCCCAGGTGGAGGGCTGCTGCCTACTCACCTGCACATAGATGTCAATTTGGGAGCGAGGGTGCAGTTGCGTCAGGATGGCTGCCTCAAAGGTCTGACGCAGCTGCAGGCCCATCTCACAAGACTTCCGGTCCCCATGTGGCCGCCGCTTGCGCTCACCTGTGCTGAAGGTTGCAGAACTGTACTGACAGTTCACCAGGGCCCTGTCTGGCAGTGCTCGTGCTCTGGAGCCCCGTATCTGGGGGAGAAAAGACACATGAGCCAAGCCCATTCCTCCCAGCTCACACCAGCCTTTCCTCTGGCTCAGGCCGGTCCTCAGCCTCCCTCTTCCGTCTCCCCCTACCTCCAACATCTCAACTATCCGGTTGTTGGAAAAGTCATGATGCATGTCTGCAACAGATGGCACTAGTTCATTTTTGGAAGTGCTAGAGTCATTCAAATCTATGTTATTGCTATGTCATTTGACAGCTGACAGTTCTACCTTCATTCTAAAAAAAGATTGAGCAATTTGCTTGAGTTTTGGAGATTTTACAAGTTGAAGATGGAAGACCAAACTGTGTATTTTTGCCATATTTTATGTTTTACTTCCATAAAGGGAAGAACGTGCGTCAAGCTTGTGAAAAGTTGCATAAAGTTTACGGTGACAATGCTCTACAAGACTGTCATTGCCCACGATGGTTCATGAAATTCCGTGCTGGTGATTTTAATCTCAATGACGCTCCTCAGTCAGGGAGGCCCACCGAGGTTGATGACAACAAAATAAAGGCATTGATCGAGTCAAACCCATGTTATATGACACGAGAGATTGCAGAAACATTGAACATCTATCATTCAAGCATTCACGACCACCTGAAGAAACTGGGATACATAAGCAAACTCAATATTTGGGTTCTGCATGAACTCAAAGAAGTTCATTTGATGGCGCGTATAAACACCTACAGTATACTCATTAAACATGAAGAAAACTATCCTTTTTTTGAAGCGACTGATAACTGGTGATAAGAAGTGGACTGTTTACAACAATGTGGTGCACAAACGGTCTTGGTCCCGACATGATGATTCGCCTCAAACGACATCAAAAGCAGACATTCATCAGAGGAAGGTTATGCTCTCAGTGTGGTGGGATTTTAAAAGTGCTGTTTTTCGAGGTCCTACCAAGGAATCAAACAATCAATTTGAATGTGTACTGTCGGCAACTGGACAGTTTGAACAAATCCATCACCCAGAAATGTCCAGAACATGTTAATTGTAAAGGAGTTGTGTCCCATCGCAACAACGCGAAACCACACACAAGTTTGATCACCCATCAAAAATTATTGGAGCTTGGATGGGATGTGTTGCCACACCCACCATACTCGCCTGACCTTGCGCCATCAGACTTCCACTTGTTTTGCTCTCTTCAAAACTCCTTGCGTGGTATAACGTTCAATTCAGATGAGGCTGTAAATCAGCACCTTATTCAGTTTTTTTTGCAAATAAAGACAGGTCCTTCTATGAACGAGGAATTATGAAGCTCATTGAAAAATGGCAAAAGGTTATCGAACAAAACGGGCAATATATCATTGATTGATCTTTGTTCTTTATATAAATAAATGACCTTTGAAAAACAGACAATTACGTCATGATTTTTCCAACAACCCTATACTTTACCTCTGAAACTCAGCCTGAGGGAGGGCCACCTGAACAGTCTAAGCTACCATCACCTCTGGATCTCATCTGTCTTAACAGGCCTCTGTTTCCATCTTTGCCTCACCCCCCCCCAACCCATTTTTCATTTGCAGGCAGAGCCAGTCTGTTTACAAATATCAAGTCTGATTCTGTCTCCTCTGCACAACCACATAACCTGTTCACCTTCCAAAGGCTTCCCATCACATGTGAGATAAAACCCTAAATCCTTCCCCTCCTTAGAAACAAAGCCCTCCCTAAAAACCTGTCGATCTCATCTGGAATTATTCCCCATCTCCCCCGCCAGCAGCCTTTCTGCTCCGCAAACGTGCCATGCTTGTTTCCACCCACTCTGGACTCCCAGTCTCCTCCCCCAGGAAAGCTGGGCTCCTAAACTCATGCGCTAAGCAAACTTTTTTTTCAGTGCCTGTGCTGGCAGGCACCGTTACAGCGCTGGGGACTTGGCAATAAAACAGGCGGCTTTATTTAAAATCCTTGTCCCCCCGAAGCTTATGTTCCAGTGGGGAGACAGACGAGAAAGAGAAGTTAAATTGGTGTCTGAGGTGACAGGTGCAGAAAGGCAGGGAAGCGTATGGTTGTAGGGAACGGGACTTGCCACGTGAATACGGTGGTCTGGGGAGGTGTCATCCAGGCCGTGAAGTCGGAGTAGAGAGGTGAGGAAACGAGGGGGAGCGCGCCTAGCGGAAGAGCAGAGGGGTGGAGGGCGCAGGAGACAGTGGCGGGTGAAAAGGGCAGGGACCACCGTGCATCACAGTATAAGGACTTCGGTTTTAGTCCGATTGAGCTTCGGCCCCGAAGATGTGCTGCGTAAACGGAGGCGCGCCGGCCGTGGCCTCCCGAGCCTGCGCTCACCCGCCCCGCGGTCGCCCGACTCGCGCACTCCCACTCGCCTCGTGCGGCCCGTAGACCACCGCTAGCGCCTTGGTGTTGCCTTGCTCGATGTAGGCCGAGCCGTCGGCCTGCGCGAACACGCCCATCCGCGCCTGGATCTTGCGCAGCTCTCCGGCGCGCCGCCCGTCCACCCGGTAGCCCTGGTCCGACAGGAGCTCCAGCCCCGCCATGCCGCTCGGCCGCCAGACCACTTCCACCTCTGGGAGAACTACGGTTCCCGGCGGCCCTCACCCCCCACTTCCGGTCTCAGAGACCCTTGGTTCCGGTCGTCCCCGACACACCACTTCCGACCTCAGGGAGGTCTACGGTTTCCGGCGGGCCGGCTCCCCACTTCCGGCCTCAAATCTACGGTTCCGGGTGGCGCCACTGTTCTCATTTCGGGCCCCGGGGGACTTGGGCAGTGCTGGCGGAAAGGGCTGTGCTCGGGGCTGTTTGGATAGCTTTTCCGCGGCCGCCAGGGGTGGAGACCCGCTGGGGGCAAAATTCCCCGGCCGCGCCCCTTTGTCGCCGGGCGGTTCCCACGGCGCCCTGGTCGCCCCCGCCGCGCCTGCGCCCGACTCGCCTTTGCTTGTTTAAGCCTGGAGTCTCCGGGAGTGTCGCGGGCGGGAGTATTGATTGCTGGCAGTAACCCTGGTTTCGTCTCTGCGGGCTTCCAGTTCTTCCGCGGTCGTGAAGACCCATTCTCCCAAGCTGGGACACACTTTCTCTTCTCCTTTCCTTACCGTTTAGTGTTTCCATTTAAAAATACAGAGTAACTGTATTATACGCACACATGGTCACGCTCTTTTCAGAGCAGTTGTGACGTTCTTTCCCACATTGGCTTGGTTCTTCTGTCCGCACCCCCCCCCCATTGACCTTAACCTAATAAATGGTTATTTGCATGTTTTTCGCCGTAGTCACGTAATTACATATAAATTATACACAAATGCAAGATGTTGTATGCGTACAGCCACAGCAGCTTTTTTTTTTTTAAGTTCCAGAAAAGGAGTTTATCAGAAGTAAAAATACATTTCAAAGAAGCAGAAGACCAGAGCAGTAGAGAATGGCTCAAGGGCCATTATTAGAAAAGAAAGTATTCTCCAAAGATTTGGAGCAGGCGGAGCAAAGTAAGCTCAAAAGGCCGCCATAGCGGCTTTTGAAACTCTTGGGTTTTTTTTAAAGATTTTATTGGGGAATTGGGGGGCGGGGAACAGTGTTGGGGAATCGGGGAAGGGGAACAGACAGGTAGACAGATTGCTGTTTTGTTCTTCAGTCTAGTTGTGGAGGATGTCACTTCACTGGCCCATGTTGGTATGATCATTGTGCTCTTCCCGGATGAGGCAATCGATCGCCGGTTGTTGGTCGGCTGCTTACAGCGGCTCCCGGTAGCTCACACCGGCTACCAGCCGCTCACACTGGCTGCCAGCCACTCACCTAGCTCACGGCAGCCCACTGCAGCACTGCTGCAGCCTACGCCGTCCCTGGAGACTCACAGCAGCCCAGCTCCAGGTCAGCTGTTGTTCACTGTTTTAGCTGTAGAGGGCGAGCGTCACTGGCCCTCAATGTGGGATCCGAACTGGAGCCCTGCTGCCAAGAGCTGGTGCTCCCAAGCAAGCTCGGAACCAGCTGAGCCACTCGGCCGGCCACTCTGGTTGTTTTTTAAAATGGGGTCATTTCATACACATTTTTCTGTATTTACCCAAAAAATACCTTATGAAATCCATGTAAATTATCCTGTGGAACTCATTAATATTTTGTTGGCTGCGTGAAACCGGTGGGACAGTTGTGCCAGAACGTATCCCCCTGCTACTGCCCCTCGTGGGGCGTGGCTGTGTGTCTGCAAGTCCAGAATCCGCCCCTTTAAAGGCAGTTACTATCGCTAACATCTCCTGTGCAGCTGTCACGTTAACCTGTTTCTTTGCAGGTCTCTTTAACTTTTTGTTGAAAACGAGACACTTTAGATGATCTATTACAGTGGCCCTGGACCACGAGTAGCCAATTCCTCCTTGGGCTTGTTACTGTTTTCTTAGTTTATTAGTCTAGCGGCTTGTCTGGGCCAGTGCTCTGAAGTCAGTTCCCCCACAATGTGCAGCTGCTGATGTCACTTCTCAGCCCGCCAACCCAGTTCTTTAAGGCTAGCTTCCCAGCATCTGGGTTAACATGGCTTAGGGTTCAGCCCCCTGTTGGGCAAAGACTGCTTGAGCTCCCCACCAGTGAGGCACTGTCCTTTGCTGATAGATAGGTGTGTGGTTGGAGAAAGATTTCAAGTCTGCCCCATGTGCAGCCAGTGTAATAGGCTGCAGAATACCCGCCATAGACATCCAGGTCCTAAAGTCTGATGGCTGTGAGTGTTACTTATGTGGCAAAAGGAACTTGGCCGATATGATATGTTAAGGATCTTGGGAGATTGTCCTGGATATTCCACGTGTAATCATGAGTATCCTTTTAAAGTAGAAGCAGAGGGATGTTTGGATACGGAAGAGAGAAGGTGAGGTAACCACAGTGACAGAGATTGGAGTGATGTAGCCACAAGCCAGGGAATGCTGGATGCTGGACAAGGGAAGGAAGGATTCTCTGGAGCCTCCAGAAGGAACCGTCCCTGCTGATACCTTGATTTTAGCTCATAACACTCAGCTTGGATGTCTGGCCTCCAGAACTGAAAGAGAAGAAAGATCTGTTGTTTTATTTTTTTATTTTAATTTTTTTTTTTAGATTTTTTTTATTGGGGAATTGGGGGGATGGGAACAGTGCTGGGGAATTGGGGGAAGGGGAACAGACAAGTTGCTGTTGTTTTGTTCTTCAGTCTAGTTGTGGAGGGCGTTGCTTCACTGGTCCAAGTTGGCACTATCATTACGCTCTTCCCAAGCAAGGCAGATCAGTCGCCGGCTTCTGGACGACCACTCACTGCGGCTGCTGGCCGCTCACGCTGGCTGCTGGCTACATACGGTAGCCCATGGCAACCCACTGCCACAGGGAGTGCAGCCTACGCCGTCGCCGGCGACTCATGGCAGCCCAGCTCCAGGTTGAGCTGTTGTTCAGCATCTTAGCTGTAGAGGGCAGTGTCACTGGCCCTCATATGTGGGATCCGAACCGGGGCCCTCTGGCATCCCAAGCGAGTTCTTAACCATCGCGCCACTCGGCTGGCCCCAAGATCTGTTGTTTTAAAGCTTCAAGTTTGTGGTAATTTGTTGGAGCTTTTTCATTACTTCTCACCACTAAGATATTCATTGTCTTCCACAATACTTCACTCAGCCTCCAAAGAAAGCCAGCCTGCTCAGCCTTGCTGTGGAGCTTCTAGGCCTCCCATCCTGCTGCTCACCCTGGGCCAGGGCGGGTGGAAGCCTGCCTCACCCAGAGCAATTCCCCATATCTATGGGTGGGTGTTGGAGAGGATGGCAGGCCTTGTCTTCTCGCTTGTCCTTCCCAGTGGAACCTCCACCCTGCAACTGGAGCTCCGTGTTCTGGGCTACATACACCCTGTTGGAGTAGAGCCTTCATAATGGGGAGCTGGGGGTGGGAGGGAGCAGTTTCGGGCTTAAGTGCCACTGATTCCTGCTGATCTAACCAAGACTTAGACCTCCTGGAACAAATGCTGTTTGCCCTTTGGTCAACATCCAGAGTGAGAGGGTCACTCAGCCCTCTTGGACATCCTATGGTCAAGGCTTGGCACAGGCACGCTATCACTTCCACCACATTCCTCTGGTCAAAAATAAGGCACACGGCCAGTTCAAATTCCACAGGGTGAGAAATGGACCCCCTCCTTGAGGGGAGGGCAGCACGTGCATCTTCGGGTTGCAGCAAGTGGCTGCCCAGTGGGCACACCCTACGTGATCCCAGGACTGTGACTAGAATGGATTTTACCCAACATTAGGTCATGTTATATGGCAAGCTGAGGTATCCTGGCTGAGCCTGACTTCACCAGGTGAGCCCCTTGAAGGGGTGAGGCCACTGCCAGGCTCCTCCAGCAAGGTGGAAGGGGTTGCTTCTGCCAGGAAAGAGGGTTCATGGCAGGAGAGTATCCACTCAAAGTCCCATCCCAGGTCTCACCGCACTGACTGCCACGGGTGAGTGCACGTCGTTTCTGCCTCTTATATCATCAGGCCCCAAGCTTCCTTCAACTGGGAGGCTGTGCTAATTTGCTGCTGCTGGGTAACAAGTGGCTGCAATGTAGTGGCTTACAACTATATCCATTAACTCACAGCTCTGTAGGTATGATGTCTGGGTACAGTGTGTCTGCATTGAGCACTTGGATTTGAATGACTATCTGATGCGACGTCCTTTCAGCCTGGAGACATTTCTTTAGTATTTCTTGTAAGGCAGGTCTGCTAGCACCAAATCCTCTGTCTTTGTTTATCTTGGACTGTCTTTATTTCACCTTAATTTCCAAAAGATCGTTCTCCAGTATACTGTATAGGATTCTTGCTTGAGTTTTGTTTGTTGTTGTTTTTTTTTTAATTGGGGAATTGGGGAGGAAGACCAGCCAAATCTTGCTTGAGTTTTTTAACAACTTCGAGGATGTCATCCCATTGTCTCCTGGCCCCCATTGCTTCTGATGGGGAGTTAGGTGTTGGTCTTATATGTGATGAATCATTTTCATGTTGTGACTTTCGAGGTTTTCTCTGTTCTCAATAGTATGAGTGATATGTCAGCTCCTAGAGGCTGCCCACATTCCTTGCCACATGGAGAACCTCCCTGGCATGGAATCTCTTTCACACTTTGCCTCTTTTCCCAGGAAGAGACCTGTCCTTCGAGGGGCTCACCTGATGAGGTCAGGCTCAGCCAGGATACCTGTCAGTTCACCACATAACACAACTTAATGTTGGCCTTAAAATCCATTTTATTCACAGTCCTGGGATCATGCAGGGTGTATCCACCGAACAGAAAACCTTGGGGCTCTCTTAGAATTCTTCCCCCACGGCTCACCCTCCAGCTTCCAGAGTGTGAGTTGAAGTTGACTGCCCCGAGCCTGTCATTCTTTATGGGGTAAGATCAGTAGTCCTGTCAGAAATACTCTACTCCATAACCCTTACTTAGACTTAGGATTATTTCCTAACTATAGGAATCATTAAAATGGTCATTATTTCTACTGAGATTAAATGTAGCTGCCACCTAGTCTCCTGGAACACTGCTCTCAGAGGTGTCACCCCACAGCCAGCACCAGTGAGAACTCCCCACCGGAAGTCACCATGCCACACTAAAGCAGCTGGGAAAGGGATATGCAAACCCCAGCAGAACCTACCGGTTATTGAGTAGAAACTGCACTGAGC